ATCAAAGACCGCTTATCAAAGACCGCTTATCAAATTTACTCGATAGCTCTAATCAAAAAAAAATGATTATGAATTTAATTCATAGGCCTTTACTCGTTTATTATATAATATTTAATCTTATTTTATTATTAATAATAAAATAATAGAAATTTCTTTAATATTAAAGAAGAATATTAAGAGTTAATTTAATACGCTAATATAGCTAGTTATTATTATATTACTTTTTAAATTAATTATTTAATACTTAATATATATAATTTTTTTCTTTATATTATTATCTTAATTATTTAGATTAATAATTAATTTATATACTTTATTTAAAAAAATTTAATTTTTAAATTTATTATTTATCTTTTCTATAAATATTATTACTATTTTAAAAATAATAATTATCTTATTTATTAGTAATTTCTAATTTTTATTTATTATTTTTAATATAGTATTTATTAATAATTTTAATATAAATATATACTTTTTAAAATCGTAATTATTATATTTTTATTAAGATTAACTAGTTTTATTTAATATAATTATAAGAATATAAATATTTTCTAAAGCTAAATAAAGAGATATTAATCTTATTAAATACTTTAAATATATATATCTACTTTTTATAGCTTAATAATATAGTACGAGTAAAGGTCTATAAATTAAATTTATAACTATTTTTTTTAATTAGGGCTGTCGAGTAAATTTAATAAGCGAACTCTTAATAGAGAATATTTAAATACGTTGTCTTTAAATATCTATAAGACTAAATTTAGTAATTCTTTTTTTATCTAAAAGCTTATATTTCGTTCTATAATTTAAAAAGCAATCTTAAAATTTTAATAGAAAATAAAAAAGTTATTCTAAAATCAAATAATGTATATCTAATTAGAGCTATTCGGCTGTCGAGCGAACTTTAATAAGCGATATTTGAATTCCTTACGCTTTAATAATTATAAGACTAAATTTAGTAATTCTTTTTTTATCTAAAAGCCCATATTACGTTCTATAATTTAAAAGAAAAATTTTAAAATTTTAATAGAAAATAAAAAAGTTATTCTATGTGTTAATAATGTATACCTATTATTTTTTAATAATTGCGAACGCTAATTTATTTATCCGCGATGACTTAGATAGTCTAGTTAAAAAGCGTAGAGAACTCGAATTTATAATTGACTGTATATATAAATTCGAGATTTTCTAATTTAGCTCTATTTTATTCTTTTATATATACGAAGATTATTATTAAAAGTTTTAAATATTAGAGTTAGAGCTTTAAAACTCTTAATATTCTTAGTAAATATCTTAAATATCTTAAATATTAATACTTTATATAATAGCGATAATAGTATAATACTATATATTAGTATATATAAAAGAATAAGATAGAGCTAAGCTTGGAAACCTTGAATTTATATGTGTAGCCAATTATTAATTTAGATTCTATACGCTTTTTAATTAGATCGGCTGAGTTAGCTCGATAGCCCTCTCAAGCCTCCCTTATTAAAAATTTGTATGTAGAAGTTTTACACTTTGAAGTATTCAGCTTGCGATATATATAGTTACTTTATAATTCCTCAAATTGTAGAGCTCGCTTTGCGCTTTCTAACGCTGTAAAAATTATGAAGTTTGGTTTATTATTAGTAGATTAAATGGATATTCAAATATAGTAGTTATGATAGTTATATCAGACGCGTCCGAAATCGAATAATAATTCTTTCACCTATTTGTGTAATTATTATTCTTTTATTACTCTACTAATTCTATTAATTTCATTAGTATAAATATAATCATCTTCGATATCCCTCGTTCGAAGGTTACTCAACGTTTTAGGTAAGTATATCTCTTTTACCCGCCTCTTAGAGCCTCTACTAACGTCTTTAGGCTATCTCTCGGCGAATTCGCTATTACTAATAATCGAGGCCGTAAGCGAGTCTAATAGCTATTAAACGCGTTGAAAGGCCTTTAAAAAGAGCTTAAATAAATACGTTTTCCTCTATATACTTCTCTTAAGCTAGCGATAGATAGATTAAACTAATATTCAAATATTATAATCATATCAAACGCGTTCGATTCAGATATATATACCCCTTTTACCCGCCTTTTAGAGCCTCTACTAACGCTCTTAGATTATCTCTCGATAAATTCGCTACTATTAGTAATCGAGGCCGTAAGCGAGTCTAATAGCTATCTATTACTGCTTATAAACGCGTTAGAAAACTCTTAAAAAGAGTCTAAACGAATATATCTTTCTCTATATACTTCTCTTAAATTAGCGATAAATAGATTAAACTAATATTTAAATATTATAGTTATATTAAACGCGTTCGAGATCGAATAATAATCCTTTCATCTATTTATATAATTATTCTTCTTTTATTATTCTATTAATTCTATTAATTCTATTAATATAAATATATTTACCCTCGATACCCTCGCACTTAATTAAATAAGAGAAGAATCTATAATAGGCGAATACGGAGAATACTACGAAGAATATTACGGAGATAGTTATTAGCAGCAGTAACACAATAGACCTACTCTTTACGATCTTATATTAATCCACTTAGTTAGTATAAGAGAAGTTAATATAGTAGGCGAATACGGAGAATATTGCGGAGAAATCAAGCGGTAATAAGATCTTTAGCACTAAGAATACGGCTTAGCTCTCCAAGATCCCACATTATATACTCTCCACGATTTTATATTAAATTATTACTTAGTAAGCGAAGAATATTACTATAACTTAGTTTATTAGCTCTACTATATTAATATAATATATTACTATAATAACGTTATAAGAGAAGAATCTACTACGACGATTATAGTTAATTAGGCCTTTATAGAAGAAATATTATAAGAGAAGAAACTATAATAGATAAATGCGGAGAATACTGCGGAGAATACTACGGAGAATACTGCGGAGAATACTACGGAGAATATTGCGGAGAAACTAAGCGGTAATAAGACTATTATCGTTAAGAATACGGCTTAGCTCTTTAAGATCCCACGTTATATGCTCTTCACGATTCCACATCAAATTATTACTTAGCAAGCGGAGAACATTACTACAACTTGGCCTGTTATCTCTATTGTATTAATATAATATATTACTATAATAACGTTATAAGAGAAGAATCTACTGCGATAATTATAGCTAATTAGGCCTCTATAGAAGAAATATTAAACGATATATATTTGAACGAATTGAAATCGTTCGATGTCTATAGCTATTTTATTATTCGAAAGATTTTACTGCGGTAGAAGATAATATAGAATTCACACCACTAATTAGCACGTTATCTCCATTTCTTTTCGATATTTCGATACTTCTTATTATAAGGATATGGCCTTTCTCTATTTTTTATAGGTAATTATTACGAATTAATTCTTTACACTCGATATACCTTTCTAATTAGACCTTAGCGCGCCTCTCTTCGTATATATATATCTATATATAGATCAAAAACGTATAGCAAGCGATTAGAGTTCGATTTGACTTAGGGCTAGGGCTAAAATTCGATTTAACTTAGAAAAATCCAACTTTATAAATTTAATTCATAGGCCTTTACTTATATTTATACTAATAAGAGTATTATAAGAAATAAAGAATAGAGAGAGAATATAAAGCTTTTTAATATATATTTAATATGCATTTAGTATAGTAAGTAAATATCTTCTTATTACTCTTTAATCTTAAATAATATTTAATACTTAGAGTATTAATTATAACGAGGCGATAACGAGTATTAAGAGAATCGTAAAGAAGAAAATAAGCGACTCTATAATCTAGCTAATCGAGTAAATTAGTATATATATAATTATATAAAGTATCGTATATTTATTATAAAGCTACTTAAGAAATTTACTAAAATGCTAGAAATGCCAAGAATGCCAAGGGTTTTAGCGCATGTTCAGGACTTTCGGTGGCAACCTCCCTCGGTGTGCGCGAAATAAACTGCAGAGGGGGCTAATTTTCCCCGCGCCAAATTTCTACCAAATCTACTTCAATTGTATTTCACATCTTTCACACAGTCATAATATCATAATTATGGGTACACGCAAGGGTCAAGATCCTCCTAGAAAGTATGCCTAAGAGACTTCTAGACGTAATACGTCTTGAAGGAGGGATGACAGGTCATTAATAGTGTAGTTATCATAGAAAATGTACTTGATTCTCTGGCGCAAAATTTAGCCACTCTGCAGTTTATTTCGCGCACACCGAGCCTCCGTACTGATAAGCGTTATGCGAAAGCTTTCCGGAAGTGAGAGTAGTAAGTGCGGGAGAGCGGTTTCCAATGGAAGCTAATCCAGAGTAGTGTTGGGCTGATGCATCACGTGATAGTAGTGAGCTTCTGCCTGAGGATTGCAGAATGTAGGCTTTATATACAGAGGTCTGCACCGAAAGTCCTGCACCCGCCAAGACTCTTACGCTCAGACTTCGGATAACGCCCCACCTAAAGGGTTACCTAGACAATACGTTTGGAGTTCTTCGGAATCGCACCTAGCCCTAGCCAGGTTTCGAGGCTTAATACCTCTATTAAGCCAAGAGAAGTACCTAAAGTCTCATCCATGCGCTATAAGAAGATATTTCTAAGCTTCCCCTCTACAGGGCCGCTTTCCGAAAGTAGGGTTAGGGCTACACTAGTGCGGGTGCAGGACTTTCGGTGCAGACCTCTGTATTGAACGACCCTTTACAACGGATAAGCGCTCCATTCGTATACCAAAAACTCAAGTGCCTGGGTCTCTGGTTTTTCCCGAATAAATTAATGTTCAAGACACTCTTCGTCCATAACCCGCGAACCAGACCGATTGACAAGTGCCCGATGCAACACAGTTACGCGCCTAGCCATGAGGTTGTTCAAGTGATCTACGCCAGCGGAAATGTCTTCCGCCACATTTACCCCACTATTTTGAGCCGCAATCAACCCCAAAGGGTTCATCTGAGACTTACCTCCAACCCATAAGATCGCGTCAGATCCCTCAGTCATTCAAAACAATCCGGTCGAGTCATGGAGAAATTTCGTCGTCGCCATGCAGAGTTACCCGCCAATCTTTACCGGGTGCAGTATCCCGGGTGCCAGACGGCACTTTCAGGCAACGGCCTGCAGGCAAAAGAGACCAACGTGACCTACACAGAGGATGATATGAACGCCTTTCGCGAATCGATCATCAAGCAGCTGACTTGGGGTCATCGTGGAGATCAGCCGTACATCACATGTTTCTCCGAAAAGGATCACGCAGAGAATTGGGCTTGCAAGGAGCCTTGGAACCACGGTGAATACGGCAACGAGTCCTGGAGTCTCTTGACAATCGACACAAAACTCATGCCGGAGGCATATGTATTTAGCCTCAAGGACTTGGTAACTCAGCTGGACCTTGCATTACCGGAAATGGCTTCTCAGCATGTGAAAGGCGGGTATCTGTGCCTTCACAGGATCCCAACGACAGCTATCGTCTACTCGGCATCTGCTCGTGAAGTGAAAAATGGTAAGCAAGTGGCATTGATATTCTAGGCAGTTCATTTCAGTGGCTAAAAGTTCGACAGATGTGGAGGATCGGAAATGGCAAGAGACATACCATCCGCTCGACGATTACAGCGGCTCTGACCTAGAAGCTGCGGAGAACAACTGGAATGACGATATTATGAAGATGGTCGAAGGCGATTGGAACTGATTGTTGCGGAGAGCCCAGCAGGGTTGCTCGTCATGTACACACATCCTTCCCTGTGATCCGCCCCATCAAACAGGTGACTTGGTAGATATCTCCTCTTCTGTCGGTTGCTTTACCTCGCGTTGAGCCTGGACCCTCAGTTAGTTTCAAGTATGGATTGTTGGGTTTCAAAAGGTCGAAAACACCTGCTCAGACAAAGTCGAAGATTTTGCTGTGTTCCGACAGACGACTACCCGTGCCAAGAGCGAACCCATCCTCCACCAAAATAATACGCTGAACAGGTCCCACGCATTTGCCAATATGAATGCTTCAATGCAAATTGAAAAATTATTGTGATCAGGAATAGGGAGTGAATAGGCTGTAAGGCTCATTGATGGTTTCTCCTACTGTACGTCTTAAGGATTCGTTTCGTAGACTGCCGCCCTATTTCTTAGGAGAGATCTCCTGAGCCCATCCTCCTGGGCGCATTGAATACGGCTGAGTGGCCAGTAACAGCTCATCCTAAATATTCCTTGATCCCAGCAGAATTCTCGGGGGACAAACTTCCTAGGAGAGCCCGACTTAGTAGGCATCGGCCCTACAGACTGTGCTAAATCGAAGCGGGTGCAAGAACAGGAGCAGGGTGTCAGAACTGGGAGAGTCGCACGGAGTGGAGCAGTACGACTGGACCAGACGAAGAGACTGTCAAGCAGTGAACGAATGGCTTATTGGGCCGTGCAAGGCAAGCGGTTGAGCCTTTGACAATGGTCAACGTAATGATACGAAAGCACAACATATTATCGACTGATTACAAATCTTGAATTCGTTTAAGCTAGTTGCATCTATTAGCCTTAGTCCATTCGCAACTTCTCCCCTTTCTATATGAAGCTATCAAGGAGAATTGGTGAAAAAGCTGAAGATCCAAGCGATGGAAACGAAGACCTGAAACCGCAGTGACGTCAGCGAAAGCGACAAAGAAATGCGCCATGAGTAAATGAATTGTAAAGTAGCACTGTTGATATGACCAGTTGTATTGGATAATTTCTCACTCGTCAAGGAGGCGAGGGTCAAGCTTGTCGACTAGGTCAGTGCATACAGACGACGCCGGCGTCTCCGCGGCACCCATGCTCTCGTCCCTGGCAGTGTTTGACGGAGATGAACCGTGTGAGCTGATTGAAGAAGGGGTCGATGTTCCAGGGCTGCGTCGGCTACACAGCGTCGTCGTCTCATCCACAAACTCGTATGTCAATTGGGTCCACATATCGACCTTCACGTCCGGGTCGCGGTCCTTGCTCATTCTAGACCTCTTTCTTCGAGCCGGCATAGTGTCCGCTTGGTTGGTAGACCTACGCCTCTTGATGCCTTTGGTCAATTCGATGCAATGAACATCCTGAAGGTGGAATTTCAGCTCCAGGACGGATGGGAAGGCATCGATGCATTTCTGTCTCGGATGTGTGCATTTGGTCGCCTTGCTATCGTCCAGCAGTCCGATATGTTCGCCAAGATGCGCTTTCCATTTCTCTCGGTCGAGAAATTGCTGAATCCGCGTGGGAGCTGGAGGCGCCGCATTGCCCAGGCAGAAAGGACAATACCCAGGGCAGGCAAGGGTTCCACCGTAGACAAAAGGATTGCATTGGATGGGAAGCATTTCCGGCCTTTCCAGGTGACTTTTGCAGTGATCGTCCCATTTGTCCTGACCGACCATCCACTCACTACAGTCGAAGCACAGCTCGGCAAACCCGTAGCTGGCCACGAGCTTCTTTTTGTGGCAGCCATAGATGTGCCTCCATCTCTCTGCGGCCGGTTTGCTGTGGAGAAGCATCTCGTTAGTCGCTTGACGTGTACACAGCGGATGGAGAGGGGTAGGGGGCCACACACCTATCAAGATCCAGCTTGTGGTCTGCCATCAGGCACGTGCATTTCTCCGGCTCTAAGCCCGGACGGAAGGGCACTTCGGCCTCCTGTTGACAGAGCGCGATCATGTCACGGAGGACGGATCGACCTTCGTCGCTACGGATCGGAGCGACAAGGAAGAGATTGGATGCCAGACGGTCCCGCTCTGGCATAAGGCGGCGGACGCGGTGGAATTGGGTCCAGTGGTACCCCATCAAGACGGCGTCGTCTGGGCTGGCCAGCATTTTACCTGGTTGCTGCTCCTGGCACTTGTGGAGTTCGTCCGAAACCAGCTTTCGTTTCTGTGCCATCAACGCGTTGCGACTGCCCTTGGCGGTGGAGTCAGTCTTGGCCATCGGAGCCAAGGCCTTAATCTCCTCTTCGATGGCGGTGAACTCCAGGCTATTCTCCAACTCGAACTGTTTCTTGGCCGGCAGCGCCTGCCATAGTTCAGGGTTGCGATGCAGAGTCATCCCGCGAAAGCGATCATTCACAATACTGCGAAGCTTGCCGTCGAAGTATCCCCCTTGGAGGTCGGTTCCGGCATTATTAGGCATGTATGAATCGCCAAAAGTCCGCTCATCTTTGTGTCCGCCATGCTTCATGCGTTGAGCGGTCGAATAGAGCTTGTCTGCACCTTGGATTAGTTCATGAGTTCAGATGAAGGGAGAAGGATGTAAGAACACACCAATAAGGTACAACCCCTCCGCCCGGAAATCATGAATGGTAGGGCACCGGAGGTATTCCGCGCGGACGCCCAGTTCCCTCAGACGCCTGCTGAAGGTGTCGGCCTTTTCCATCTCGCCGGTAGAGATCACGTGGAAGAAGGGCTTGCCAAGCACGCTCTCGTGCTGCCGGAGATGGTACATCTCATCCTCCGGAGGCTCGATCGCCAGGAGCTCTTCCATGGTGCTGTAGTCCCGGAAGGCGTGGTCCGCGATGGCTCTGGCGAGCATCGTCAGCACAGGATTGCAAAAGAGCGGTCGCGGCTCCAAGCCCTCGTGCACAGAGTTCTCTGGCCTATTCATCGAGTCAGTAAGAAGGCGGTGGTGAGTGCTATCAGTCGAATGGTTAGAGACGAACCTTTTCTCCGGCGTCCAAGTCATGTTTTTCGCATCCCGCACGACTTGGATGGCGAACTCGGCTTTTCCATGTTCATTTCGAAAGACGCCGAAGGTCATGTCCTACAAGAAGCGACTTCAGTGCGTGTTCTCGTCTATCCGAGGGTCACCTCGTTCTGCGGAGTATACTCACACGGAAGTAGAGGCCGCGACCGGAACCGGCACGGCACGTGGACTCAATGAATTCCCCCACTCTCGCTGAAGTAAACACGTAAAGTTGGATCTTTGCCCACGTGTCCACTCGGACCCGCGGCTTATCGTAGATCTGCCAGTCTTTCTCCCACAACTGGGTTCCTAGATGGATGAAGTGGTTGGTGGTACCGTAGCTCCGGATCCTCTTTCTGTGAGCGAGGCCCAGTTCTGTTCGCAGGGGTTCCTTGATGAACTATACGATGGTCAGTCTCGATAATTGTAGCAGAGGGGAGAATGAAACCTATGGGCACCAACATTTGTAACGGAGAGTGTCGTTGTGGGAGGTATGGTGGAGTTGTGCCTCCTCCATCCGGCTGTGAAGTCTTTCCAGTATTGGAGGACGCTTTTTTCCCCGCCTTTGGGGTCGCCGTAACACCATCGATCCCGTATGTAACGTCCCTCACAAAGTCCTTCAAGGTTTCCAAGTCGTACGGGTCAGCGCCAGGGTGATCCTGTGCGTATCTGTTGGGCGTGGGAAGGAGTGTCAGATAAGCAGGCTTCTTTGGAAACGCGCAAAAACCTAGGGCGGTGAACTTACCCATTCCATAAATCCAACGCGCGCGCGTAGTTCTTCGCTGTCTTGGGTTGAAGGTGTTTCTGGACTTCAGCGCCATTGACAATCGCCTTGTTGATCCCAGAACCCTTTGCACGAGCTCGCTGGAAGAAATCCTCTGGGGACTTCTTCTTCGGCATTGCAGGCGGCACGGGGAGCAACTCCGACGCAGCAGAGAGGGTGGGCAGGATTGAAAAGGAGGGAAAGGAAGGGAGACACGAAAATAAAAGAGTGCAGCTCTGTCTTGCTGCAAGCAACGAAGGCGTACCGCGAGACGATTGACAAAACAACGGGGACAAGGTAGACAGGTAGGGAGGAAGAAGCAGAAAGAGCGAGGGCAGCAGGCAAGGCTTTATACGCAACAGTCGGGGGAAAGGGCATGGCGTCCTCTCTGGAACCAGTTTTGCACCCCACGGAGCCAGCTCTGGCTCCCTCCATTGCGCTGGGGTTCGCCGTCTAAAGTTGACGGATTCGAGCTGGCAGGGTGCACTAAGAGTCACAAGAACAGGGACGCCAGAGGCTAGGAGCGAGCAGTGCCTGAGCAGTGTGCGGGGGGGGGGGGGGGCGACGGTGCGTGGTGGGTGAGCAGAGCGGCGGGAGCTGACTAACCCAACTCGGAGGGCAGCGACATTCTCGTGGGCCACCCTACTCGTATATCCGATAAACGCCGAGAGGCAACAAATTGTTTCTCCGCACCATTATTTCCATTACTACCCCACCACATCAATATGATTTAATAAATGTAGTCTAGATCTATTATATAGAGTTCAATGCATCATTCCTTCCATGAAATCGTCTTAAAACTCGTGTGTAATAATACACGAAGGCTTTCATTCAAACGGTGTTTTACTAGGATTAATAACGTTTCGCGACCTTCAGATTAGTGTAGAAAACGCGGCGAATTTTTAGTACTCGTACAATCCAGAAGTGAGTTCTTTGATAGAGCGAGGACACCAGTAAATCCTTCCACTTAGCCGAATTCCGGTTGAACTATTGGTAAGTTTTTCCTCACTTTATCAAAGAACTCACTTCTGGATATTGATACGAGTAACGAGGGCTGAGCTCCTTTTTTGGGAGTTTTTTTTTATGTATTAAATTTATTTATTTAGATCCAAGCAAAGTAATCGAGCTTTTGAAACTCCATAACAGAGTCTATTGGAACATAAAAGCACCTGGGCTATGAGACAATCAAACCACCTCATAAATACTTCAGAAGCTCTACGGCGAGTGTTCCTACCACCTCGAAACGAAATATCAAGGACGTACAGCACCCGACCCATCCTTCAACGCGCCAACCCTCGCCCACGATGCCTCTCCTGCCCACGCCCCTCACGTCTCCGCCCTCAACATCCCCGCAACGCATCCACCGACGGACACATGGTGCAGATGCCAAAGTACGGGCCCAAGCCCGTACCGAACGGTAAGAAATTCGGACCAAAAGACGGCCTGGAGGGGCGCCCACGAGACGAAGAGATCAATGCCTATAAAGTCTACATGGTCGGATCCGGAGAGGACCGCCTCCCAGAACCCCGCGTCCTATCCCAAGTCCTCAATGCGCGCGAGCGAGACGAAAAGGGCCATCCGACACAGTTTGTGCAAGAGGTCGCGCCGGCGAGTGAAGAGCGCCCGTGGCCCATTTGCAAACTGTACGACAAGAAAGCCGCGCGCGAGGCGGAAGAGGCGAAGCGGAGAGCGAGCAAGACGAGCAAGGTGAAGGAGCAGTCGAAGCAGCTGGAGGTTCGCTGGACGGTCAGCGATAACGATTTGGGACATCGGATGGTGCGGTTGAAGGAGTTTTTGGAGAAAGGGTGGAAGGTGGAAATTGTTTTTGGGAGTAAAAGGAAAGGGTGGACGAAGAGGAGGCAGGCGGATCCGGAGGAGGCGACGAAGGTGTTGGAGAAGATCAGGAAGGCTGTTGGGGAGGTTGAGGGAGCGCATGAAAGGCGGATGCAGGGAGAGGTTGGGAAAGAGGCTATTTTGTCGTTTGAGGGGAAAGCAAAAAAGTAGCGAATTGAAGGGTGATTTTCATGGTTGACTTATGGCTCTTTTCCCATAGACACTTCCAGACCCTTCGTACGGCGACCAATCTTAAGCTGTCATTTTCCGACACAGACTTGAAGATTCTGGCGGAGTCTTGGCCGACGCAAGCAACATATTACCTCGATTCTCGAATTCAAAAGCCGAGTACGGTACGTACCTGTTGAACTTGACCTCTTCCCATACGCATATCGTCCTCATCGCCCCCTTTTTCATGATACAAAAGCAACCCCAAGAAAAATGGAGTATTGCTCCCCCGCCCGAATCTCTTCTTCGCAATCATCCACAAAGCATGACCAGCAATGAAGAAGTGAGTGCTTATCCAAGACAGATGAGAAGTCCAAACATTCCCATACGATCCGAGGACCACAATGATCGGTCCTGGTGACTCCATCCGGCAATAATTGAACCATTTGACTTCATGAGATCGACTTACCTCTCCCTTACCCAACAAAAGAACCCCCGTTCTCCGCACCCTAGAATCCAAGCTGCTTTCCATCATCACTGAGCTCCCCTTTGCCCCCTCTCCATATCCGCAAGATGGAATGAATCGTCGCGGTCGGTCAAATTGGCAGAGGTGAGACGCAAAGAAAAGCAGAAATGGGTATCTGCTTTCGAGAACGACGCAAAGAAACCCGTTGCCCACTTTTTACATTACTCAGGATCAAAAGTGCGAGCAGTACACACGTTCGAATTCCCTACGAAGGGACTAAGCGGCTAAAATACTCTCCAACGCTCGACCTTAGCCTCGCTGTTTCGTCGAGTAAATCCAAACTCACGCTTACCGGGAGGTTTGTATCCCCATCGTCGGCTGAGCACCGACCATATGGAGTCAACAAGGAGAGGCAACCAGCCCAACACAGCACCATTCTTCGAGGCAGAGATGCCTGCTCGGACCGCAAAGGATATCCCATCAGAGGATATTTCCTCCCCGGGCTATCCCTTCAGATGTGCATCCCAGAATATATACCCCTCAGGCCATCCCTTCGGAAACCCAACACGACAAACTACATACCCGTCAAAGCCTACCAACCCAGGAACTTCCCTACCGTATCGAGAACTCAATTCCTGTCTGTATTCTCGCGATGCTCTATCCTCTGGCAGATTGGACGCTTCAACCAAAGTGCGGTCACCTTGACTGTTTCGAAGGACTTTACATTTCAGACACCAAGCGCCGGGAAATTTGATGGAAGGTCTGCGACGGGTTTTTGGAATGACATGTGGAGTAAGTTCCTTACAGACTGATTTCGAATCACATGCTAATCAAATTTTCAAGCACGATGGATGGGCCGAATGTCTTCTGAAAGAGACACACGGAGCGGAGTGAAAGCCCCACAGTAGATATCGACCTTCTCAAACCGTGTAGAACGCTTCGCTCAAGAGAATAACAGTAAGGGTGTGTATGCATGCTTGGCATGATGGGACAAAAGGCAAGGTATTCAGAAACGATGTCACCGCTCCATCTAGCCTGCAAGACGAGAAGGACTAAGGTACACAGCAGAACCGAGCCCAGACTCTGAGCCCACGCCGCATCTGGACATGGACGAGAACGCCAGGGATTATCTCAGTCACTCCTCGACATCTACACACGGACTCTCGAGCGCGCGATGACATCCTCCGACGGTTCGACGGAGCGAGAAAACGACGCTCGGTCGATTGAAGACGACTTCCGGCGGTCTTCCAAGCATGGGATATCAACGAGCAACTGACCTGTCCTGGACCGGACCTGTTCTCGGGAGATGTGTCTGATCGCCACCGAGCCTTTATTTTAGGACTGGGCAGATTCCAACGCGCGAAAGGCTGCGTTTTCAATGACGTTGCGGTGGCCTTTCGGCCCCGGTATCGTAGATGTGTGATGCGCGTGCACAGCGTGAGGGAGGTGACGATTGTACGACATTGAAGCCACGCGAGGTTGGTTGCCAGCATGGTCAGGTCGATAGTGGCAAATTTTGCGGTTCATAGTTACACAATGTAGAAAACGAAGCCAAAAATTTCAATACATGAATGGAATCATGGACGTCGTGAAATGCGCGCCAAAGATCGAATCCTTCCATCGTACAAAGGCTTACGACCAGTCTCCAGCAGTCGAGGTAAGCCAAAAAGCGAGAGTCAGGAACGATGTCAAGTTATGCAAGAATCCAATTAGACAGACGAGTAAGAAGGTAGAGATAGGGTCAGGAAATAAATTGCTTGCGCAGAACATCTAATGCTAAAGACCGTGAAGACGGCAATCGGCCGTAAAGTCGTGAGCGGCTTGCGCCAAAGTCTAGCTATCCAAACAAATCTAGAACGTAATATATATGCTATGTTATCATGTAGCGTATAGACCGTGAGGCGTGAGAGTCATTGCAGTGTCGTCTTGGTTGGCGACTGAGAGGCTGACTTGGGAATCAAAGGAGACTAATTTACGATACGATGAGCCTCAGATCGCGCAGAACGCTGTAGTGAAAAGAGAGAAAGAACAAACTCGAGGGGGACGTTGGGCGACATACTCGGATTCTCTATAGCCAAGGATGGAGGCCAAGACAGCTAGAAGTGTAGGTTCATAGGAGCGGCAGGCAACGAGCGAGCGATGTTTTGTTGGACTTTTGCTACCTGTACGATTGTTTGGCCCTTCTGTATCCAAGCATGGAAGCCATCAAGCGAGTCAACCAGAGGAAGTTCCTCATAGATAGGCTCGACGTCCGCGTAGACAGATCGAATCTTGCTCGGAAGCTGACTACCCCAGGGCGACATTTTCTTTCTAGCAACAAAGTAGTAGCAGTATAGTATTTGGGCGATTTTTGTAACCCTGGAAGTGAAACGTTCGTCTGGGCTGTCACCAACGACCGCCCACCATGAGATGCGCCAGCGCAGGCTCATCAGAATTTGGCCAAGCTGGCCGGCCAAAGTTTCGATATCTGCATCAGACTTGCCGCCTTTGGTAAGCTCATTGACTGATTTCTGCAACGCCTCGAAGGCTTCAATTTCTAGTGCTCGTAGAATGATGCGAGACAGTTGCACGGCGAAGATGATCGTGCTTCGATCCTGCTGATCCTCAACGTCCAAAGCATGTCCGAGCACAGATGTGTTGTGCGGCGAAATCTCGTAGCCATTCCGGCTTGGCATATTGTTCCACTGGATTGATTGATCCTTTTGTGAGTGGGACTGTTAGCAATCTGGAGACACCGACACTGGAACGCTCTCAGCTTAGGCTCACCACGACGCTGGCCGCTAGATCGTCTTCTCGGACGCATTGCAACCATGCTGATCTCAACTGCTTATTCTTCACGAACTCGTGGAGCTCGCAAGTCTCCGATCCACATGACTTGTGCATCTTCGTCAGGAGTTCAAAGCAATTGGATGAGTCCAATGTGTAAAAAGAACCTGACGAGTGTCGGACTCGGATATCATATCGCATTTGGCAGGACTCAAGGCGATCGAGGAGTCCAGACACGTTGAAAGCCGTTGGGACTGCCACTATCAGTCGCCGAGTTCCATCAAGAGCCAGGTGGCTGATAGAGTATTGGACTGGGATCAATTAGATCCTCTGACAAGGCACAAGACAACAGTATCAGCACTTACAAACTGCGTTGCATGTGTCCTCTCTAACCATGTCGGTGAAATTTGCAGGGGTACAGGACTGGTCCCACAGTTTGACTTTGGTAATCTGACGGCACCCTTCGCAAGGAAGGCCCCCTTTGCACTGCAGTATGATCAGCCAGCTCCAATAATATTTTGCCAGGTTTGCCTACCGTCATCTTCATTGTTCGGCACCGGATGCAAACACTGCCATCTTTGCGTTTCTGGGCAGCAGCTAAGGCAGTCGCCGTGGGGAGTGGTCCTTTTCTCTTGCCTTTTCCTGAAGCGTTCCGGGAAAGGATTGGGCTTCCATGTCGAGAATGCCCATACTCGCGAATGATCGACAGAGAACCCGACCTAGAACCCCTGGCAGATGTAGGTTTGTTGGTATTCTTTGGGAATGCGGGATTGGGCGGACTGGATGAAAGGACGGTGGGCTGAGAAGTTGAAGGAATTGCTCGATACGCCCTGGGTTTCTGCATCATGGGCATATAATCCGGAAAAAAGTCTGCAGAGGATGGAAAGGATGATGGGAGACCCGACTTGTAGTGTCCGCTGGATCCCTCGATCTTGATAGCACCTGGGTGATCTAGTATTTTGCTATCGTCGTAACTCTGATGGCTTGTAAATCCGAATGCTGGGTCTTGTATAAAGTCCGAAGACCAAACGTGATCATGGGCGGTACCACCAAGATCATAGGGTCCATAGGCTGTGTCGCCCGAGGTACTGAGTGGGTGCCCGAAAAGAAGGGGATCATTCTGTCGCCATGAAAACTCTTGTGGTGTCAGGTCATCGTGACTGGTAGGCAGCGAACTACGCCCGATCTCATCAATCAGGCCCGGATTGAGAGAAACATCGACCTCAAGGCTTTGACACAGCCCGGTACTGCTTTCCTTCACTTGGTTCGAATTCGGATGGTGGAGCGGATAGGCTGAACGGGTGTCAAAGAACTGCGCAGAATTGCTCTCCATTTGCAGGCCGCTCGTTGCGGGTCGCGAAGAGCTTGAGCTAGTGGAGCTGCCCGCCACCTGTTGCTCACCTGCATGTGACGTTTTGTGTCCGAACGTGCCGAAGTTCGCCAGATGTAGACTGCGAGCGCTCCTAGCTTGACTACGGAGGCGTGGTTGTTGGGTGGAATATCCCTCGGCGTAGTATGGACTCTCCGGCATCCTCTTATGCTCGGCGGAGGCTTGACGCTGATGACGAGACTCGGTCGTTGATGGATGGAGCATATCACTGCCTTGCAAGGTCGACGGCCATTGGGAGATAGCCTCGATCTGAAACTCCTGTGAGCTTTGATGATCACGCCCAGGGGCCGACAGAGCGAACGTTTGTAGGTGACTCCAAGGCTCATTTCCCCTTACTGGAAAGGAGCCTTCGTACTGCAGAACAGCACCGGAATCAAACCTTCCAAACCTCCCAATGTCCCATTCCCTTGCAGGTGCGCTATGTGCTTGGGTTGCGCTACATTGATGCGTCAGCAAAGGCCTTGAAAGCCTCTCGAAGAGGGATCTTGGCGATGGAAATACTTGTAGTCAAAATCCTCCCAAACATCTTCTGGATCTCCAGCCAATTCATGAGAGTGAGGTGAATTGATCCACGAGCCCACTTTAGGATGAACATCTCCGTCGTCAAAGACCGCCTGGCCAGTTGCAATTTCTACATCATCAAATGACGCAGAGCAGTTGGAAGCGAGGTGTGCAGAGTCTATGTGTTCATTGACGTTGAGAAGGTTGGGATCAATGCATTGGGGGTAAAGTTTATACTGCATAGCTTGTGTCACATGTGAAAGGATAGTGGCAGAATGCGTCTTTTGATCAGCTCTAGAAATTTGAGCACGGCGACTTCTCGCCGACCCTTTGTAGTAGAGATCCGGTGAAGCTGCGCACGAGCCAATGCCGCGCAAGGCTATGGAGTGTCATGCGATGCCACCAATTATCTTCAACAATTTTCAGGCAACGAGGGTTTCATAAGCGATTATGTTCCAAGAGGACTAGTGGGTCCGGTTACCAACGGTACTACACGTGAGAAGCGAGTTCCCGAAACACCAAATTCAACGGTAGAATCTTTAAGCCATGCGATGACGCCATCTGCCCTGAGCAGTGACGAGAAACCTGTTCTGTCCTTTCTTTTGAATGCGCTTTAGAGCCGGCGAAACTTCGTTCACCGAAAGGAAGCGATCCCGCCAGATCGCCAATGCACATGATCGCTCTGCATACTTTTGAGGGGTCAATGCCGGATGGTTACATGAAGTATGTGCCATGACGACGCTCTAGGTAGTACACTCACCTCTGCCCTGAGATGAGCCAATGCTTTAGCGCGCATGTGTCAAGTCATAGGACCCGTCGATTGGCGATAAAACCTCCGAAAGATCCCCAGCCGCAGGTGCGCGGCGGTTTCCGACATATCTTCGAGACGGCAGACAAGGCGGTGTCAGAGTCAGCAGAACCTGATGGTGGCTATGCTATGACAACGCATCATCCACGTGAACTCAATGGACGTTTATTGGCCAATGAACTCTTCGAGGCTCCCCGGCAATCGCAACGATGTTGTTATATTATCCTTCACCCTGACTGGGGAAACAGCAGTGGAGATATCATGGCCTGGGTACAGCAGCACCGACTTCGCCAAAGGGAAGCTTCGGGCGCTGGTACTGCACCACCAGCATTTGCGATCCAAAGATATTTCTCAGACGGTATTCCATTTGTCTGCTACTCATACAACCCCTGCTGACAGTAATTCTGGGGATATTGCATATAGTTGTTGCGATCGAATAAGAATAAGAGAAGGACAAGGAGTGGATCATGAAGCATTAACAAAGAAACAGGCGATTGAAAGAAAAGAAAACACGATCCTGAAAAGGAAGGTATAATTAGCAAGGCTCTACCCGCGGTGGAGAAGACGTAAGCATGCACAGGTGGAAAGGTCTTATGACGCTTCTTTTCATTCCTTCCGCTTCTGCAAAGTAGGCAACTTATGTCCACCAAATCTTACTCTGGCGCACAGGCAGATGTCTAGTAAGCGACTCCATTCTCCTGGTTCTCATGAATAGAAGTTTGAAGACTTTCTTTCCCTGTTTACCCCAGATTATTGATTCGGCCCAGATCTACGCAGGGATCTGCCCCAGGGAATCTGCCCGGCGAACCCTAAGTCGCGCTGCGGGGAAAGCCTCGTTTGATCGTCCGAATCTCAGAGTCAGAGCGCCCCCTCTTCCCAAGCGCCCTTTCACCTGCTCAACGCAAGCCTTGGTCAGTACTCCAACACATGAACTACCAGTCTCTATCTGACCCTCAAGGCACCTTATCTGCAAAAAAGGGTCTCAGCGCAATATCAAGTCTCGGCTTGAGCAACCATTGGGACGTCAAACATGGCAGATGTTTTACCAGCAAACACGAGGACCTCATTGACAGCACCGAAAGCCATACCGCACCCCATAGACACAAAACAGCCACTTCCAGGGTCAGCGCCTGCATCAACGACCTTGCCCAAGATCGCCTCAGGTGTTCGAAGTGGGCACCTCAATCTCGACACCTTTTCTCCGGTCAACCAGAATGGTAGTTTCGCCTTTGATCGTGTACTCAGAAGCGGAGAGGTGCATAAACGCACCCGAAAGACAAAAGTATCTACATATTCTGCTCCCGCCACGTACGTCTCACTAACGTACCTTCTCCCAGCAATGGAAATCCTTCTACCTTGTCCTCCGCCCCAACCTCCTCTCTCTCTACAAATCTCCTACTGAGGAGCGTCTCCTCAAACAAATCCGCCTCAACGACCTCAATACCGTCGGCTACCTTAAAGACCCAAAAGGCCGCCGTCAACACCTTTTCGGCCTCTTCTCCCCCGAGCGCAGCTATCACTTCCAAGGAAGAAGCGACGCAGATGCTAAGGCGTGGGTCGAATTGATCAAGCGTGAAGCACCACAACTTGACGAGGATGAACCGGTGGACCTTGGTAGCCCCACCGCTCATGACAGCCATCCGGACAGACATTCGGGCTACGAGCGCTGGGGTTCCAGCTCGCCCGAACCGTTGGAGGTACCAGGCCGGCGGTCTACCACAAGAGATGGGATCAGGATACCGGGCATACGACGGCTCTCAGCGCATGAGCTTGATTACTCAGGAGATGAATTGGCACACTATTCCGATTTCTCCGATACGCCTCCACAAAGCTGCGCTCAGTCTTCTTCTGGGCCCTTTGCCAAGCGAAACGAAAGGGGCGTTCCAAAAAGCAGCAATGCTCCATACTCGACACCAATGCAACCGCCAGCAACAGCACGGAACGTTAGTGAATCAAGTGGCTTTCACGCTGATCAACAAGACGACGAGAGGGTGATATGGCATGGTTACCTGCTATGCCTGAAGACGAAGGGTGGCGTCAGGCAATGGAAGAGGTTATGGGTTGTACTCAGGCCGAAAAATTTGGCTTTCTATAAGAACGACGAAGTCTGAGCACCCATTCTTCGACTCCGAAAAGATACTAATACTACTACAGGAATACGCCGCCAACCTCATCATCCCCCTCTCCGGCATCATTAACGCAGTTGAGATCGATCCTATATCTCGCAGTAAAGCGCATTGCATGCAAGTTATTGCCGAGGAAAAGAGTTATCGTTTTTGCGCCAGTAGCGAGGATGCTCTGGCCGAGTGGCTTGGGGCGCTGAAAAGTCAGCTTACGAAGAGGAAGGACAAGAAGGCTGGGACTTCATGACACAAACGAACAGGAAGTCTCATACTTTGGGAGGATGTACATTTATAGGATATGATGTCAAATACCCAAAAGTCCTTTTATATTTTCAAACACTTACCTTGAAGCCTCAGCCATCTACTTTTAACCTTGTACTACCTCATTAATCAGCTTGAAATGGAGCCGGTGATTTCTACGGCCTCTGATTTCGCTCCAGAGGGAGTACTTTTGGCCGCCTACCGCAATAAAGGACCAATTCATGGGTATAATGCGCTACAATCTGACCTCAGCTCATCGAAATGCTCCATCCAGCGTCCACAATCCATTTACTCTCTGACCCCTTCCCCCTTCCACGGCTCACGGCGGCTTCATCCCCACATGCTCATCCGGCAGCCAAAACACGACCTCCCTATCCGCCGTCGCACACATGTTATACCGCGGATTCCACTCCACGACACTCGCCCGCCCTTTGCACGGTAGTCCGCACATGGGCTTGATCTCCTTCGTCTCCACCTCCACTTGCCCTTGCGTATCCCACACTATCGCGTCTCTATCCCCCCCACTGCCCCCGATCAAATACCGCCCATCGGCGCTGAAACACACGTCGCCCTGTCCCAGCGCTCCAGGCATTCCCGGCGCCGCGCGCAGATTCGTAGGCGCATGGGAGCGCTTGCAGTGAGCGCGGAGGGTACCGTCGAAGGCGTCGAGGAGCAGGTGTCCCTGCGGGTGGTTCGACGCGAGGAGGAGGGATTTCCCATCGTTGGAGAACTCGAGGCGGGTCCAGTCCGGTTTCGGCGACTGCACCTGCTGGGCGGTGAGGTAGGGCCGCATGTCGAAGGTCGCAAAGGGCGGCTTGTCGTAGTTCCGCAGGTCGTAGAGGAGGATGCTGTGCGTGGAGGCCGAGGCGACGGCGATGACCGTCGCGGAGGGGTCGTAGGCGGCGAGGTACGGCGTCGACAGGTTCAGGCGCGCTTGCGGGGACGGCGAGGACAGCGACCACAGGCGCACCGTGTTGTCGAGCGAGGTCGAGAGGAACGTGTCCGCCGACGGGCACAGGCACAGCGACGTCACGGGCTGGGTGTGGCCCCGGAAGTAGCGCAGGAAGGCGTTGTCGTGCGTGGAGAGGTAGCGGATGCAGTCGTCCTCTTTCGTGCTCGCGTAGATGATGGACGTGGCGTGGTGCGTGAAGCGGGCGAGGTGGGCGCCGTACTTCTGGCTCATGAGCGTCTTTATGTTCCTGCCTTCTTTGGCGTTGTACAGGAGGAGGGAGTCGTCGGAGCAGGCGGCCAGGCAGAATTCGCCCGAGTCGTCGAAGTCGAGGGATGTGACGGAGGCTTCGGGTTTGGAGAGTTTGAATTGCTGGTGAGGGGGGTCAGTGTTGGGGAAGGAGAGATCGAAAGGATTGGGAGGGGAGAGCGGGGTTCATACCTTGGTTGGTCGGAAGGTCCCTATGACTTCGGAGGTCTTTTGGGTGAGTTGTGGTCCTCCTGGAGGAGGTGGTGGGACTACGAGGGGGCCGGCCATTGTGAGCGACCTCAGGCAAGGATGGATATCCGAAGGCTCCTATCGCGGATATAGATCACCCATGCTCGAATTTGATAAGGGCTTGAGCCTTCCAAAGAGTGACTCGTGACAATGGGATGTTGTAGAAAGTTGTGGAAAGTCAGGTCTATGTGCTGGATTCGGTATAAATTGACAAGCCCTAACACTAGATCCAAAAGGGACGTCTGCACCAAGGCCGTCACGTGACATGTGCGTCTTTCCATTCAGAAGAGATAAAATACGAAGTTCCAAAAGAGTCTTCTATGTAACTCACTGCTCTATTTTGGTCAGCTACTCATCCATCACTGCAGCATTATTGGCTTCGCAAGACCGATCCTTTCGCGAATATCTTCGCATGGACATGCATTCACTTTTCAGTATCCTTAATCTCCTCTCGCCCTACATGGTATCATCACGCCCAGCAGTATTGAAACCACTACCCACAGCTGAATCAGCTTTTCCCAAGTTGACCGTGATGTCCCTGCTGCTTGTGCCTTGTCCTATCTTCAAGACACATCGCGTAGAAAGGCGCAGGATCATGGAGCCATTCACCAATCTTCTCCAGACCACACATGTCAATTTTGAAATCGGCGCAAAATGCTGTTCTAACTAGCGTCTATCCACTTGTACATGCTTGCCATGCGTCCTTCCTCACCTTCCTTGCGACAGGAACCGAAGTCGATTATCACCGCAGTATCGTCGATAGTGAGCATGACGTTAGAAGGATTGATATCGTTATGGACGATGCCGAGACTGTGGAGGTGCTCAATGCCTTTCTTCTGAAGACAGTCTTGTGTATCGAAAGGTCGAGTGACATGATAGATGCGCTCGACCGGGTTCTGACAGTACCTGGTGAAGCAGAGACTCGCAATACGGCCTTCTCTAACGACGCAGCCGTGATGGGAAGCGACGTTCGGGTGTGGATGGTCGATGAGAATCTCACCGATTCCAGCTCCTCGAAGCATAAGTTCGCCCAGACGAGTTGGATCCCTTGAGTTGTAGGATGATAAATTAGGGAGCTACTCCCAGCAGTCCTCGGGCATTAGGTTTGGCGCTATTGTACACTTGTCAGAGAAGGGAGGGCGGTAGTCGCAAATAGAAATGGGCGCGGGTTCAATCTCAAGCCTTGATGTGATGACCTGCGTGATGATCGTGGTACGCTGGGAGCTCCGTGCTTTGTAGAGGTTGTCTCCGTCTTGAAGCAAGTGTAACAGAACTTGAAATCATCCTCGCCCCTCCCTCTACTCGGCCCTCGACCCGGTGGGCGGCGAGAAGCTTCATCATGCTGTGAGAGCGTCAGGCAAGGTGTCGATATAACAGATTCCAGGGGGTCTTACATTACTGTTTTCTCTGAGAAAACCCACAAAAGATCTTCATAGCAGTCTAAAAGGCTGTCACCAAAAGTAGCTGAGTTGAATTTTGCGGTTCTGGGATCCACTATTCTACCAACTTGTTGCTCTTGCGAAACCCACAGAGTGCTCGTACTGAGTTATTAGGAGAGGCTGTATTGAGAAGGCGCCAAATGAATTAAATGTATCGGAAGTCTTCTTCGTTTCGAGCTTAGAATTGGATTCGAGGCAATCCCATTACAAGAGGGTTAGTTACATAGAGGAAGGTACTTAGCTGGACCACATGTAACCGAGATCTACAAGTAAGCGAATTGTTGTAGGATAGATGTTGGTGCTTCTGTTCGCATGATTCGTCATCGTCGATTCGTCTCCCTCTTGTGCAAGCATCTCATAGGTAAAGACAGATGATGACTCTCCATGACCTGTGCTCAACTAGTCTCCTATCTTGCCTGTGGATCTGATTCAGCTCGAGTGAGATAATGAGAATCTGTAATGTTTAGTTCCAGTCATCAACATTTCCTTCGAACCAGCATCTCTAAAAGGAACATCAATTTTTACTTTAAGACACATGTTTAAAGTGACGGGTAGAATCTGAAGTGTCACACTTCTTGCCCTCTTGTAACGCTGTAGTGTACAACATTAGTTCAGATAAATTCGAGTTCGCTGTGTTGTTACCCATTGAACAAGCGATTCTGTAGGCCATGCTGTCCTTATGATGAAACCACATTGTTGGCATCATTTTCTACGTAACAAGGCTGCTTTACAGTTAGTCAAAGATCATGATAGCGTTTGAAATGAGATGGAGACAGCTTGCATGACTCCGCCCCTTTCGGGCGTAGGCTGAAACGCGTCTGGCATGAGATGGGATTTTCTGTGCACATCATGACTAAAAAAAGCACCAGGCTGAGGAAGAGCCTCCGGCCCGTCCGCTAATGATTTTGATAAGAGTATGATAAATCTGCAGCATTGGATTGGAGCTGCCAAATGGTGGTGGTGGCATCCTCAACTTGTTTGGCTCGCCTGCATCACAGGTAGCGAAATGTCCTCGAGAGAAAGGAGTGCGCAGACTCGGCGGTGCTGCAGGAAAGGATGATACCGTGCCGAGAATCAGCAACCCATTCGAAGCTCCTAAGGATACAAATAATGGACTTCCATGCACATTCCAATGGTTTTCCCTCTGTGTCTGTCATACTTTCTCTCCCCAGAGCACGTCATGCGGGCAGTATTTCCTATATTTTTGATTTGCGTCTGCCATAAGTCGACCCTCGCGAATTACACGTGCTATTGGCCGGATGGTTCTACTATCGCCGACTCGTTCGATTATACCCCCTGTAATATAACAGCGACTGGTATTGACAGCGCGTGTTGCGACTCGGGAGATCCTTGTTCTGCAAATGGCTACTGTTTTGGCAACGCTGGTTACGTATACCGAGGAGGCTGCACCGATATCAACTGGGATGCCGACGAATGCTGCCCAAGCTGCAGGAATGGTACGGAGTCCACCGTCCTCCGATGCGTTCGATACGGATCGTGAGCGGTTTTAACGGTGTAACAGTTGCTATCGATATCTTCAGCAACATCATCCCCTGCCCACTAGTCAACGGCTCTTTCACGGAAACGTTCTGCTGCAGCGAGCAAGCAGGAAGCCAGGCGGCCGCTGCCGGCTGTTGCGACACAGCAATAGTCGATCTTAATGAAGACGCCATAATTACTGGTCCAGGCCGTCTGTATGAAGGCAATACCGTGAGCACGGTTTCGCTATCGCAGTTTACCAAAACTTCAAGCATCGCAACCGCTTGGACATCGAAAAAGCTTCCACCTATCTCGCCCAGCATCGTGGCATCTACCACATCAGCAAGTGTTCTATCTGCCGTAGCAAAACCTTTGACCCAACACTCACCACCGACGAAGAAGCTTACTGACCTCAGTGTGGCGATTGGCGTGCCGCTGGGGGTTTTCGCGATCTCAGGATTAATCGCATTACTCATCCACGAACGCAGGCTTCGAATTAAAGCGCAAAAGACGGTTGTTGATACACTTGTTGCTTACGAAAAGTGTCGCGCGGCCAAGCCACGTGCTGCAGTCTATGAGGTGCAAGGTCACCCGAGGCCACATGAACTGGAGCACACACAGTCGCAACCGGGGGAGCTTTATGATGGAGAAATTCATGAGCTGAAGTAACATTTTGAGGGCTGAAGGATAGGGGCTCATGGACACCGGGTTTGCGCTTTTTGGACGTCTGCGGGGCACAAGCTAGACGAGTCTACTCGCTTACTTGCTATATTGTCCAACTCATCCATTCTGATTCGGACGAACTTGATCAGGCCGAAGAAGGTAGAGAGGATGAAATCTGGATCGAACAAGAAGGAAGTCTTTCTGCTCCCAAAAGAAGGCGCTTTGTACCAGCTATCATCAACTGATCCCGTCTGAAAAACTAAGTGGTAGCGAGGTTGCGATGATGTAGTGACTGACTCAGCTGCAGGAGTGCCATCAAGGTCTATTGGGGTCACAAATGGCGAGGATTCCGGTAAGCTGGCCGATAAAAAGTAGTCTGCGATGCCAGCTCGTCACATGGCGAATATCTGTGCTGGAATCCTTTCTCTATTCCCAAGACCGGTCTGGAATACAGGAATGTCGTCAAAGTTACCATGAAAAATCGTTGAAAGTCGAAGAAGCCTGTGCACTTTGCTTGATCCGCGGAGAGTTTTAGAGCAGGTGATGGTGATGGTGTAATTCCCGTCACTGTGATGTTCTTCAAATCAATTGCAATTACCCCGCTCATGCCCTAAAATTTGATCATAGCGCACAGTGATGAAGAATGAATTCGTTCAGCGACTGAGATACATCCAACATGATCATGGATACTCTCAGGCGCGCTGCCAGAATGAGTGACTGACTCAGCGGTACAGATTCGCAGAAATGAAAATTAGATTAAATACCTGGATGTGTGGGTCCAAGTTCGATGTTGCAGGTCAATCTTCTGTCTCGAAGCCTTGAATGACATTCTTTCTGTGGTTTTTTCTGGGACTACCTCAGCACAAATTCGGGTACTATAGTAATTGCGGCCTTCATTTCTCCATTCCAATATTTATAATGAAGCCTTTCGCTCTGATTCATCTTCTCTAAAGCTGGCTCTTTGCAGAGAACTGCTTCGTGTACAAAATGAAGCGGCCCAGGCTGGCAACTTTCAAAACCTGAATACAAAGCATGGCTGAACGAGGCAACTCCATCGGTGCGATATTGCCGCACATCGATGCGAGCGGTCGAGCTGGTACATGCGACAGTATTCGAACTCGAATGGCTAAGTGAAGATTCGGTCATGGATCAACTGTATAAATAGCATCTCGGGAGTTGAAATGGCTGTCTTCACGAGGGCCATCAAACGAGGAGGTTGGAATGGTGTAAACTTTCACAGTGCCGATGCTTCTCCAAGCTCACTTTCATCAGACCATGACTCAATGGTTTATTAATGATTCATTTGAGCTGGGTGGTAAGAATTTTGCTTACAGAGATGTTAGTCAGAGGGAAGATGAGCCACTCGCGGAAAATAAGATCGACCGGGATCTAGATTAGTGTCGGAACCCTGCTTCAAAATTTATTTGGGGAATTCCCGACTTCGACTACATGCACCACAATACTTAGACTACTGGCTTCTGCTTGTGTTCCTTGTCGGCAATGTCTTTGACCGCGGATATACTGCCAGGAATTTCACGATGACTTTAACCTCGGAACTTCCTGAATCGCCCTGAGAAAACGGGACCGCGTGACATTGGATCCGCTTCCTCGGTCTTGCGCCTGGCACCATGTCTACCACCACAGGGTAAGTCTCCAAAACCCTGATAGTGGGGGTAGAAGCTGAAGTGTGTCCGGATGACCAGTTCATTCATTGCAGGCGGTATAGCAGCTTGTGGTGCTGTCACAGCCACTCATCCCTTCGAGACCATCAAGATCCGGTGATTGGCGCCAGCGATCAAGAAGAGAGGGCAAGACTGATCCGAGAGATAAACAGGTTGCAATTACAAGGAGAGCTGCAAGCCAAGAAAGATGCGCCGAGACTGTACAAAGGCGTTTTCCACGGCGTGAGCGTTATCCTGAAGAACGAAGGGCCAAAAGGCTTGTACCGAGGTATTGGGGCAGCGGTAAAGCTATGCATCCACTGCATCCTTGGCACAAGGCTAATAGTGCCCATAGTATGTATACCAGATGGTCCTCAATGGCTGCCGCCTAGGCTTCTACGAGCCCCTCCGCCAAAGCCTCACCTCTGCCATCTTCAAAGACTCCAAAGTCCAATCCCTTGGCATCAACATCTTCACCGGTGCTGCATCTGGCATGCTCGGCGCTGCAGCCGGCTCCCCTTTCTTCCTCGTCAAGACGCGCTTGCAGTCTTACTCGCCTTTCCTGCCCGTGGGCACTCAACACGGGTATAAGAATACGGTGGATGGCTTTCGAAAAATCCATCGCGCTGAGGGTTTCAAGGGTCTCTATAGAGGGATCGAAGCGGCTATTGTCAGGACAGGTTTTGGAAGCAGTGTACAGCTGCCGATGTACTACTTTGCGAAGAGGAGGTTGATAAAACACCTGGACATGCAAGAGGGAGCTGCGCTGCATCTGGCAAGTAGCGCGTGTAGTGGGTTTGTGGTCTGCTGTGTTATGCATCCACCAGGTACGTTTGACAATTCTCGTGAGATATGCGCGATGCTGACGGAAGAATCGCGGAAGACACGATAATGTCGCGGATGTACAATCAAACGGGTAATCTGTATAGTGGTGTATTCGACTGCCTAATCAAAACTGTAAAAACCGAAGGACTCTTGGCCATATACAAAGGGTTCTTTGCACACTTAGCAAGGATTCTGCCACATACAATTTTGACCTTGAGTCTGGCGGAGCAGACGAACAAGTACATGCGGAAGTTTGAAGATAGAATTTTGCCGGCGACGGTCAAGGAGAAATTATAGACACACCCACAAGCATTTGCATAGACAATGGATGGCGTTAGCACGGAGTAAGAGATGATTTTGCATAGTGTTCGGCGTCCTCATAAGACTGGAGTTGCGTTGTGGAAAGAAACCAAATCCTAAGCCAAAATAAACATTCCCCCCGGACTCGAACCCCCCTACCCTCATCGTCAACACATCACGACGACCCCGTCACCCACCCGATAAACTCCGCCCGACCTTTTGCATTCTGCCCCCCCCCCACTCGACCACAGCAGCCGCCCAGCACCAACCCCATCCATCTCCGTCCACCACCACCACCACCACCACCACCACCACAAACGATGGCAAAAAAGCACCAGAGCATCCAACCAAATGGCAAAAGAATCGAGCCGTTACCACCAGGACCTTTGTGCTGCCTGGCGACTCGCAAGAAAACCCCCCCGGCTGTGCGGAAAGGGCTCGCACATGGGACCCGATCGGGGGGTTTTGCTTCTACAGACCTACATGGGAGAGGGGCCGCTATTTGGCTTTATATCCGTGTTTAATCGGTGAGCGGATCCGGTAGGGCTGGCTCTCTGCCACCACAGTCAAGAAGAGTTCCTCTGCCACCGCACGGAAGCGGGTTTGTTGATTTGGATGCTGTGGTCTTGGCAGATAGTGCTCGGTGGTTGGTGGCAATGTTGATCAGGGCTTTGAATAACATTTGCTCCTTGTTTTGAGGTTGCGGTGCGCTTTCTCTTGGAACACATCTCTGGCAGCACTCGCAATTTTTACATCTTTTTTCTTTTCTTTTTCTTTTTCTTTTGGAGACCATCGATATCGCTCTCTTGTCGCGACATTCGTGGTATCTACTAGCGAAAAGCCCATGCATCCAGCATGCAGCCCTCACACAAGCGACGTCGCTTGGACCCTTGAAACCATCGCTAATCGCGTTGGCGGATACTCACATATTGACAGCTGCGCCTCGAAGTTTAACAATGCACGGGTGCCTTTCGCGTGTTGTTCTACTACTACTACTAATAGTGCCGTGGCCACCGCAAAAGCGGTGCTTGAACCCAGCAGATGATATTCTGTGTGAAGTCGAGATGCGGGCATCCAGTGTTTTCTTGCTCGCCGCGCCGCTCGTTCTCTCAACCTCTGCAGATGCAGCTTCAATCAATCCACCGTCTAACCTCCTCCTCACCAACCCAGACACACCCAACACATTCCCCAACACCTCCATCCCCTCCAACCAAACAATCTCCGAACCCACAAAGTCCGTCAACCCACCCCCCCCTCCTTCCCCCCATCGCTCCCCCCACTAACACACACCCCCACCCAGTACCTTCCCCCCCTCCCCCTACATCTACCCCATCCCCAACAACCCCACGACAATCATAACCTTCTCCGCCTACACGAGCCCCATCAGCGAACTCTCCGCCCTCGAGTGCATCCTCTCCGCGACCGAGGACGTCGAAACCGCCCTCGAGGCCTCCGTCCGCGACCGCGACCCGGATCGCCTCGTGCGGCAGCACTACGTCCGGGTGGACGCCGAGCACGCGTCGTTGATCGTGGCGACGGTCGATGGGCGGTTGAAGTGGGTCACGTGGGGCCAGACGTTGAAGGCGCTCACGCGGTTTCTGCACCGGTGGGAGTTTGTCGGGGTGGGGTTTGTGGTCGTGGAGGGAGGGGTGAGGGTTGCGGTGGGGACGTTGGCGGGGAGGTGAGGGGATGGTGGTGGGGGTTTTGTTGAAGGAGGGTGGTAGGGGGTGGTTTGAGGATTCGAGGGTAATCGGTGGTGGTGCTGTGGCCGTGTCTTTCAGGCTAGTTTGTAGTTTGAGATGTTTGCAGCGTTCTGAGATTGCCTGTGTAAGCGGAATACGATAGCGAGTCCGGTGGGAAAGTCGCACAACATGATTGCGCTTAGATTCGACTGTGATCGATTGGCAGGAACTGTTTCATACCGTTGGCAGGGTTGATGTCTCTATGCAGCATGGCAGTCCCGGGGTCAGATGCCGTTCGATCTGGTACAGGCTACCGCTGATATTCCACTGTAGGCCATGATGGCAACAAAGTATGGCTGCAGCTATCTGGAACAGGGCTGGCAACGGTGGAAATAGTTGGTTTTGGAGGGCAAACTGCACCAACTATCATATATTGAAAACTGACTACCCCACTATCAGTGTAACTGATAGTGGAGCAGTTATAATAAAAGATAAAATATCGCTCAGTGGGGGGGGGGGGCAATATATCAAGTGTTAAGCCCTACTTCAGCCCTATTTCAGCCCTACTTCAGCCCTATAAAACATGGCCTCATTAGCTCTTTTAACTCAAAAAACCGACTTTTTAAAAAACTTATTATAAACTACTCCACTATCAGTTGAACCAGTTGGTTTCAAGGTCAGAACTACACCAACTACCAACCGGTAGACCTCAAACTACACCATCAACTACGAGAAACTAACGGTTCCACTGGTAGTGGACCAGTTAGTTGGTCCACCATTGCCAGCCCTGATCTGGAAAGCTGCAGCGATGAGGGTAAGGTAGCAGACACTCGTGAGGCTACGAGTATTTTCTTCACGCCCTAGGATCCAACACTTTTACATGCGACGATCCGAGTCGTGTACCGGCCACCTATCTGGGGCTCTGCCAATCAAACTGGAGTGACTTGGGTACTTATGCACGCTCTTAAGGCAGCTGCAGATGAGGTGGGGTGGGGTGGCGTGCATGAAGCTACGTCTGCTGGCAGCGATCAGGCTATCGCCCATCCTCTCCATCCATTCGCATCTTCCTCCGTCCATGGAGACACGCAAGGTTTTATTCTCTCTTTATACCTTTGGCATCGAGACCCTAGCGACACTGTCCGTCCCAAAATCCGCGAACGGCGGCGTGAGGTTGGTTCCATGCGTCCGACAGCCTTGCCTACCACTCCTCCACCAGCGTGAAGTCCAAGGCGAGACGACTCAGTAGCTGCAACTTCTTCCGGGCATCAGCGCGTGAAGCCCGTGTTTGCGGATTTCAGGCCCCAATCCACCGCCAGTAGTCTGATCTCGCATTGCCTCCATTGTCCAATCGATACACGTTTCTGCATCCAAGATCAAAGGGCCACACTATGGACCCAGGGACTGCTATTGCGACTGGACAGGTCTCCGCCAAAGTCCTATCGATCATTTGGAAATACTACTCGGAAGTCAAGGATGCCAAAAGCAATATTACGTACCTAGCCAACGAGATCCAAGACTTTCACGATGTGATGCAAAGATTTGGAGAATTACTCCAGAAAGAGTCGATTGTAGCAAAGGCTCCGGCGTCAGCGTCCCTCGTAACAACAATCGAGCAGTCTTTGTTGGACATCAAAATGCTTAAGAGCAAATTGGACCCAGGGACAGGAGCCAAGGTCATGAAACGTGTGGGGAAGCGCGCATTGAAATGGCCTTTCACCAAAAAGGAGGCAAATGAGTGGGTCACAAGGTTCCAGAGATTAAAGGCAACAGTCAATCTCGCGTTGAACGCAGACCAAACGTGTGATTTCCGCTCTCTTCTCTAGCCATCATGAGCTGATCAACATAGCTCTCTCATGATTGATGTTGACGCAAATGTCATCCAGCTGAAACAGGGCCAGGAGGCTATTGAGCTGGAGCGACAAGTGGGAAAGTTACCTCTTGCTACCGAGGCCTCTTTCGACTCATATCACCGTCAACATGAGCCACAATGCATAGCGGATACTCGAGTCGAACTTCTGCAGCAGCTTCAAGGCTGGGGCGCACAACACCAACGACCTATATTCTGGTTAAGTGGTATGGCTGGGACTGGAAAATCCACCATTGCTCGCACCCTTGCCAAGGAATTCAAGTCCCAGAATACGCTTGGAGGCAGCTTCTTTTTCTCGAGAGGCTCAGGAGAGGCCAATAACGCTGTCAATTTTGTGGGTACCTTGGCTTATCACTTGGCCAATATATCACCGCAACTCAAGCAGTGTATATGTGAAGCAATCTCATTGCATAGTGAAACTATACGGCAAGGTCTGCGTAACCAGTGGAAGGAGCTTATTATCGGACCATTGTCAAGAGTAAAACTCAACCGGCGCCCGACATTGAATTTTGTGATCGATGCACTGGACGAATGCGGCTCTGACGATGATATCAGGCTCCTTCTGCAGCTTTTTGTTGAAGTAAAGGATCTGAATACCATCGATTTGGGAGTTTTCGTAACCAGCAGACCAGAGATTGTCATTCGCCTTGGTTTCAAGAGTATACCGGAAATTATCCACCATAATCTTGACCTCCGCGACATCCCCCGCCGAACAGTGGAGCACGACATATGGGTGCTCTTGAAGCAAGAACTCAATCGAATCAGTATACAGCATGAGCTGCATGACTGGCCGAGCGAAGCTAACATACTGTCGCTTGTTCAAAAGGCTGACTGTCTGTTCATTTATGCTGCGACCGCTTGCCGCTTTATCGGAGCCATGGATTGGGATCCAGAAGAGCGCCTGGCTGAAATACTCGAAGGTGACTCTGCCGGTGGAGGGGATACCGCACAATTGGACGAGATGTACATGCAGGTCTTGAGATGCTCTCTCATCACAGGTCGGCGCGAAGGAGAGGTTGCCAAGTTGTGCGACCGATTCAAGCACATTGTGGGGTCTATCGTTGCTTTATTCGACGAATTGTCTGTCTCAGCTTTGGCTAAGCTGCTTTCCATGCCAGTCAAAACGGTAGACGTATCCCTGGGTACATTGCATTCTGTGCTCAACATTCCAGGCGACTCGGATTCTCCCATACGATTACTTCACCCCTCGTTCCACGACTTCCTTCTCGACGAAACAAGGTGTGAAGACCTGCGCTTCTTTGTCCAGGAAGCATTGATGCATGGCGAGCTTGTCACGAGTTGCTTGAAAGCCATTTCGGCCGGGTTGAAGCGGAATATATGCCACTTGCCGACGCCAGGCTCTTCGCCGCAGGATATACAGAGAGAAACGTTGAACAAGCAGTTGCCAAAGCATGTTCAGTACGCCTGCCAATACTGGATGGACCACCTCGCAGGCACCGGATCAGACTTCAGAGCCGAGCTCGGGCTCCGTGGTGACGGCAAGATCCACGACTTCTTTGAGAAAGATTTCCTTCACTGGCTCGAGGCTATGAGCCTAATGGGCAAGATGTCCCAAGGGGTGCTCATGATAACCAAATTGGCAAACATGGTTGAGGTTTGCTACCATACTCCGCTATAAATATAGTTGTCAATACTAACCTTCCGGCTTCTAGGTCATCGAACATGATGCCCTACATGCGATGGTCCAAGACGCAAAACGATTTATCCTCAGCAACCGGGCTATCATCGAAGAAGCACCACTGCAGACCTACGCTTCCGCGCTCGTATTTAGTCCAACCGGAAGTCTAATCCGGAAATACTATTCGGATCAGCTTCCGGCCTGGCTGGTCAGACTCCCAGCCGTTGAAGACACGTGGGGTAATTCTGTGCAGACTCTAGAGGGACATACAGATCACGTCACAGCAATCGCGTTTTCACCCGACGGCAAATATTTAGCATCCGCTTCTCGGGATCATACAATACGGTTGTGGGATCCGGCGACAGGGGCCCTACGCAGTACGCTAGAAGGTCATCGAGATCGCGTCTTTGCAGTAGCGTTCTCGCGCGATGGCCATTTAGCTTCAGCTTCTTGGGATAAGACAGTACGACTATGGGAGCCTGTGACAGGCGTGACTCACCGCATTCTAGATATCGATGTTGCTTCCAATTACCTTAACGCCCCACTGTTGTTCTTGCCTAATGGTGACTTGGCCGTAGAAAGTCAGGAGAGGAGTGTGCAAATATGGAGTCGAGGGAAAGACTCCTTATCTAAGCTCGTACTCCCAGACTTTTTGGAAAATTGGCTTTTGCGGGGATCCTCACCTCAGGGACAGCTGGCCTATGTAATTCGGGAATTGGATAGCAATGTATTCGAAGTACTGCTATATGACCGAAGTACAGGCACAGCGCAGAGCTTAAAGACCGACAGCCCAGCCGAGTATTGTGCAGCGGCATTCAATTCGAACAATGAGCTGGCCTTGGGTTTTATTAACGGAACGATAGAGCTTCATGACTTAGCCTCAGGGTCTCATCGGAAGTTTGAAGGTCATTTGAAAGGCGTCAGAGCGCTGTCGTTCTCTCCCGACGGTAAATCTCTTGTCTCGGGCTTAACAGACGGGACAATACATTTGTGGGATCTATCGACGCAGGCACAGAGCCTGATTGGGACCTGCTCGTCGATGGTCGAGTCCGTATTATTTTCGCCGGACGGAAAGCAAATAGCGAGCTCTTGCGAGTATTCTGATACAGTGCAACTATGGAATCCTTCTCCAACAAACTTGCGAAAAGATAATTCCCCATCTGTCTATAGTATCTTACTTTCGCCTAGTGGCAACCAGATAGCATCCATCCACGACTCCCATACAACAATCCGATTATATGATACAGTGAGGGGAGCATTAGAGTTTACCTTAGCGGGCCACTCGGGTGAAGTAAATCACATAACATTTTCGCCTGATGGTAAAAAGCTGGCTTCTGCTTCCCATGACGGCACTATACAATTATGGGATCCAAGAATAGGAACGAGAACTCAAGTCCTGAGCAGTGATTTAGGCGTCGTACCTAGGCTTGTCTTTTCATCCGACGGTGAGCAGCTTGCCTCGAGTGGCGGTAAGGGAGAAGTACGGATTTGGAATCCAGAAACAGGATCTCTGCGTCATGAGCTCGAAGGTCCCCCCTTAGAGAAAGTAAGATTGTGGGGTGTCGAAGCGATAACCTTTTCGCTCACTGGCGAGAAGATCGCCGCTGTTTTCTGGGAAGGGACTGCAATAATATGGGATACCATGACAGGAAGATTCCTTTACAAGCTCGAAGACCTCATGGGATCCCCAGGTGCAATAGCATTTTCGCACAATGATAGGTATGTTGCCTGTCAGTCCCAAGACCGGACTATAATCATATGCAACGCGGAAACAGGAGAGTCACGAAACGCGCTCGAAGGTCATTTGGATAAAGCATGGGCACTGGCCTTTTCAAGTGATAGCAAGTCTCTTGCATCCTCTTCTGACGAAGGTGCAGGAAAGCTATGGGACGTTGGATCTGCACGGCTGAGGGGAACATTCTCAATCAACAGAGATGTCAAACAGTTGTCGTTCTCTGCAGATGGGACGTACCTCGAGACTGAGCGAGGTCAAATCGGGATCAGTGAACTCCTCGAAGACTCGTTCAATTATCCATCCACGCCTGGTAGTCATTGGAGTCTCTTTGGGCGGGAGTGGATCATGGAAGGCAACCGAAAAATGCTTTGGCTACCTCCTGATTTTCGCCCCCGAAATATGTGCATAGCGCATCACAATGGATTGTTTGTCATCGCTTGTGAATCTGGCAAGATGACCTTCATGAATTTTACTCAGGATGGTGTAGTGACCGATGTTGAAGGGTGATAGATGATGGACTGGAGTCTGTATACGTTGTGCAGCTGATGTCGAATGAGCTGATGAGAGCTGGGAATGGGGTGGTAGATTGTGTTGATTTGATTTTATCTTGCCTTTCGTTTTGCGTGCGGCACTTTGGTGTCATTGTTTCCTGATTTTATTTCGACAATATCCAACGCTCCTTAAGATGTCTACATGCTCGCCTTTGAAGGAAGGTTACAGCTGTCGTTACAGTCAGTGTTTCATATAGAACAAGAGACTCTCAACTCCCAAGTCGTACAAGGAGAGCGAGTGATCCAACGAAGTCACAAGGAGGAATTGGTCTCAATTTCCATGGACGGCGTCCAGTAGACGACTTGCTGAGCCTGTGTTGTGACCGTTTGTTTGTTGTAAGCCTGGCAGTCTACCCGCTATTGTGGATTTGTTTGTGAAGAAGCACCAAGCTACACCAAAATGCTTCATGTTGATCCATCCATCCGAATCCTCTCCGTTTTCCAAGTTCGCGCGTCATTCTTTCACCTCAATGCAAACAATCACCATCTGTTTCCTGCCGGATAGGCTAGAACCACTCATGGAACAGTGAACACTTTGGGTTCGTTACCGGCAATTATTTCGCTTTATGGGTCTAGAGAATATGGGCGGCCCTCCCGACTGGCCGCAATTGCCCTCATCAGCTAATGATTTCTATTTCCAATCCATGGTGTCCACGCATCCATTGGTGGCATGTGAGGGTGGTATGGTATGCAGGAGGATTACTGCATCTTGCGACTCTACAGCCTTGATGATTTGATCCGCCAGAGGCCCGACAGCATGTCCCCGACAGAGTGCGCTAGGTGGATCGAGATCACCACAAGCAGTGTAGTCATCGTCACTCAAGACTTCTCACTACGATGTGCAATACCTGCGCGTTGGGACTTCTTGCAAACATCTTGTATTGACAGGGTAGGCTCAGACGGAAGCCTTGAGACATATGGGCCTAACGAACACGCGGTCTGCCTCGAGTCATACAAATGATATTATCAACCTTCTCACAGACGTTGCCATTGCGGGTTTGCCGGCAATGATTATATGGCGCGTTTCGCTAACAAGCGTTGATCGCTGGAGTATCTTAATCGTCTTCTCTTCAATATTGCTATAAGTAGCTATTGGCCCCTAAATCACTCTATCTGACGTGGTTTCAGAGTCTGTGCATCAACCATTGGAGTCTTGGCTAGCTTGAAGAACTTTAGGCGAGGCGCGGACTGGGCTTGTATGCAAAAGTCGTCAGTACTGGGGAGACAAAAACGAGAGCTGATTGTGAGATCTAGGGGCCAGTGTTACGCCACAGATCTGGACGCTGTGGGTTCTACTTCATGCGAATGACCGGTAAGATCACGTTTGCTGACAATGGTTTTAGAGTCACGGTCAACCTGAGTATAATCACCGCTTGCATTCCACTCATTGTGCCATTCTTGGCCAAGCTTGGGTTCAATTTGCTTAGTTCATCTGTGGCTCCCCAACCCTGGATAGAGCTACAAAGCTATAACAATCCAAAGCCGAATAGACAGGGTGGCGGACCTTCGGACAAAGATGGAAGCGGTCGATATAAACCGGACAATGTGCTGCGTGCGTAGATGTACCAGACTTAGGGGCATGGAAATCACACAGATTCGAACGAGATATGGACTGGAAAAATCTACCAACCATTGGGTATTGGTCCATGTTGTCCGGGGAACAACCCTGTCCTCAATCGAAGTTTCTACGATCAGCCTCCTCGTGATCGAGCTACAAGAGCTGATAGACAACAGATTCTGCCATTCCCGGGCCTCAAAACGCAGTTTGTCTCACACCATTGAGCCAGATACAATTCGTAAGGCGGAGTGTCCCTACGGTGATCACCACACTCGATGTCCGTTGTGCCACCTGTACATCTACGATCTCACGAAGCTCCATCTCCGCCGTAGCTCAGCTCTCCCCACGAATGACTCAGTCCTCTGATCTGCCACGGCTTTCCCTCAGCCGCCTAGACCTTCGAGGCTGTTTGATATGGTCGCCCGTTCATTTTTCATTCCTTTAAGTCATTCTGCGAGAGCGAGTTGTCTGTTTTGAGCAAAGAACGGTTACCGAACTGATTCGTCCCTGATTGGATGCAGCTCTGGCTTTTCCAAGCAATGAAATCCGCCATGCAACTTTAAGGCGAGGAATTTTGTGCTTCCAGAACCGTTAGATCCTCGTTTTATTTTCAGAGGCGTGGGATACACTTGTGGATCTATGGGATATCGACCCGTCCCACCGCGTGTGCTAATCATGCTTGTCTGGGCGAATTACTAATTCATACCCCAAAAGTATGGATCCTTACCGAATCATACCCCTAATTACTGAATCATACCCCTACACCAAATTTCACCCAAATATGGGGTATGATCCGGTAATTTGCCCTTGCTCGGGGTATGATATAATAAGTTTTCAAAGAAGCCTTAAACTACGAAGGAGATAATCCACGATTTGGCTTATTCGATCATAGAAATAAGGGAGTTTCTCCGACCGCATTTGATGAGAATTATATCAATCTAAGAACATCAGACGAAAGCCGAGTAGGGGAAATTTCGAGCCCGGGGGTGTCCGCACTTCACGCTGCAGAGACCCCTATTCGGGCCTATATCGGACCACGTAGGGCCCCCGAAGGAATAATTCCTAACAATACGATATCTGCGCAACGGGGCGAGACGGGGTAGACTTCGGGGGTCAAACCCCGCCCGAGCCCCGCCCCGAACCCCGCCCCATTACGCAGCGTAATAATACCATCGTCATCAATAATCGAGTTAACAACTACTACCAGATGTTGGCTAGCAACGAGATCCACCTATACATGATGCCGGCTACGAACCCTCTAATAAAGATTTCTATATCTTCGAGAGTTTACTCTATATCTATTTAGTAGCTACTATATATTAATTAAGTTCTAATTTATTAACTATAGTAAGTGTAAATTTATAATTTAATATATTAGAGGAGTTAAGAGATTTTAAGAAAGTATATATTTATATATAGATATATAATTAAATTCTTTAATTACGATAATAATTAATTATATATAAATAAAAATTAAATAATAAAACGCGTTAGATCGAGGGTTAATATATTTTTTTCGAAGAATTTAATATTATTAATATAATAATAAGTTTTATCTCTCTTAATTAAATAATATCTTTCTCTCTCGCTAATTAATAACTCTTCTCTAAATATTATAAATATTTAATTTTAATTATAAACGAGTTAACTCGTTTATAAGAGTTATATAAAGATTTTTTATAGAAAAAGATTAAATAAGAGAATTAAATTTAATATATTTAAAAAATATTTTTTTAATAGCGAAGTTAGTAAGTAATAAGTAATAATTATATATCTTTTAACTAATTATCGATATATAAATAAATTTAATTAGATTTTATATTTTTATAAGAATTAAAAAAGAGCTTAATTTAGATATTCTCGACTTTAATTTAATAAATATTATTATTCTTTTTTTTACGTAATAATATATAATAAAGTATTAAATATTTAAATATATATAAAATAGAGAGATTAAAGCTTAACTCTAAGAAATATCGAGAAAAAGATTTTAAAATATATTATAAAATATAATAATATCTAATTATAATAAAAACTTTAAAAATTTTTAATATAATATATATAACCGTAATTCTATAGAATTATAATTATCTATTATATTTTAAATAAGATATAGATATTAGATATAGCTATAAGGCTAAGTAAGTAAAAACGATTATACTCTAGGCTACGCCTTTCAGTGAGAAGAGATATAAATAGAGGTACAGCCCTCCGATATAGGAATTACACACATATACTACCAGATGTTTAATAAGATTAAGCCTACCGCTACCGCTACCGCTACCACTACCTATTAGACCGTCTTATATCAAGAAGCTATTATTTAAAATCCTCTTTAAATCATATCCCAAGCAATGGCAAATTACCGAATCATACCTCATTTTTTGGTGTGATTTGGTGTAGGGGTATGATTCGGTAAGGATTCGTACTTTCGGGGTATGATATACTCCCAGATCCTGCTTTGGATCAAAGGGTCAAACGGGCGTTACGCGTCGGCACAGCCCTGGCAAAAAGTGTGAGGCTGCAGCTTTGGAAGCAGATTGAGGGATAGGTCGCCGTTGTTCGGCATTAGGCATCTACACGGTACTCCACCCTCCACCATGATCCTGCCCGAGTGCTTCTATGAACGGTATCAGGCCGTCGAATTTTAGCCTTAGCCCTATTACAAAGTCACCTCTGAGCCTTGCTGCAAGATTGTTTGCAATCGTCAGCTACATGATGGGATCAGCCTGGGCAAAGGTTGAAGGGCTGAAGAGGCGTGTGGTTCGATCCCTGACGATGGAATTCTTGTGGGGCTGCTGCTACAGCCGAAGCAGAACGCCACGTGCTTGTTTTGCTCCTCTTGTCAGAATCGTACAACTCTGGACGCCTGGGACCCTGCGTCAGGCAGGCGCTTGAGGGCGTAAAACCCACACGGCCGCGGCCATTACAGCAAGTAATGAGATGAGTGTGAGTGAAGTGCTAGAAAATGAGATACAACAGTAAGCGCTCAATGATTAAAACTCTGCATTTGGACACCGATCACAAGTGACCTGCTGAAATCCAAGCAAATCTGCGTCTTCGGTCGGTGGCCCTAATCTTGAGTACTGCTTGAGATCTCTCGCGTCGCGCGTGGACTGAGAAGCCGTACATGAAGCAAGTGCGCCGAAGAAGACGAGAGCCGGAGAAAAAAGTTCTGGAGAATCATTACAGTAGGCTAGAAAGCACCGCGGCGAGCAAAGCCGAACGAACATACAAAACTTCAGCCGAGGCCGTGGAAAGCCGGTCGAGCGAAATCTCAATGGGATTCGATGGTTAAAGATGTTACCTCGCTGGGACAAAGGGTAATTAGCCGGGTCAACGATGGTCACATCGACCTTAAGGAGCATGTTTTCTACCTATTCTTTGTCCTTCTCGTTCTCCGCCACAGCCTCCTCGCTGACTTCTCCCTCTTCCTCTTCCACGTCCTCCTACGCTCCCCATACCATCTTGAGTAGCAGGTCCGGTGATTCAATGCCACTTGCTAAGGTTTTGCAGAACTATTCACGTACGTCCTCAAGCCCGAGGCGCTTATCTTACAATGCCCGCTTAGCGATTTTGTGGTGGTGATGATGATCATCTTCTGGATCCACTAAGACTGATAGCCAAGTAAGAATCGCTAGGGTCCGGTCTGAATCGTCTACCACTTCCGTGCCCACTCACGGCCTGTAAACAACATACCCCTAAAGGTCTAGCACAGGATCAATGCCCCACTTCGGCCCCATATCCGCCACCTGCTTCGCATACCTCAACCCCTTCTTCTCATACAACTCCCTATACATCCGCGCGCACAACGTCAATTCCTCAATCTGGCTCCTCCTCAACGACAGCAACGCCGCCCTCAGCGCAAACAGGCTCTGCTGCGCGCCCAAAAGGCCCATGCTGTCGTGCAAGCAGTACGGCATGGAGCGCATGATGTTTGTCGCGTTCTCCAACCGGCCGATCTCGCCATGCTGGACGAGCATTTGTCGTGCCGTCGTTTGCAGAGGGAAAGTGGGGGTCGAGAGGGCGGTGGAGCAGATGGTGGCGATGGTGCTGCTGATGGCTAGTTTGAGGGCCCAGTGCATGATCACGACGTTGGCGGTTTTGAGGTCCGGGAAGGAGAACGGCCGGTTGTGGTTGCATATTGACGCCCGGTACCCGTCGGCTGGGCCTAGCTCGATCGAGTCGTTGAGAGGTGTGAGCCAGTACACGGGGCTGTCTGAACCGCGGACGAGCTCCTTAAACCAGAGGTTGATTTTCGCGTCCATGGCGGAGCAGCGTCGTAGGTATTTTTGAATCGTCTCGGTACTGGCATCTTCGTTCGCGAGGTCTGCGTTATCTATCTCTTCTAGGAGAGCGGCCAGTGCGAAGCCGTGGTCGTATAGCTTTTGGAAGATGTCTTTTTGACTTTGCTCTTTCCGCTTCTGATACCAGGGACGCGTGCACCATTCGTGAGACCCTAGTGGAGACGCTTTGCGATGGAGGAGGGACTGGAACATCTAGAATGAGCTATCAGTCTTGCTGCCGTTCTGAATCATGACTGGCAAATGCGGCTTACCGTCTTGAGACGCGTCTCTTCGAACATAGCGCGCGCGAGCGGCGAACTGTATCTGTATTGGTCTGACCCTCGCAAAGTAACAAGATATGTTAGAACTTCTACGCACATTTCAGGGTCAGCATTGCTTCTTCAAGATAGATAATTGAGTTTCAAGACAGGTCTCCGGGGTAGAAATGGCCAGTGTCCTCCCGAAACAAGTCTTACGACTACGAAAAAGGAATGATCATCTCCGAAACGTACATACCTACATGGCTGTTATACCCGATGATTGAGGCCGGTGTCGACTCGGAAAGCTGTACAATACTGATGAGAACGGTGGATGACGGTGATAGGAAACTTTCTTACCTCATAGAGCGCTAGAACATTGCACGTAGCTAGTGTCTCATCTTGCCACATTGATTGTTTGTCATAGAGAGCTTTCTGAAGCTCTCTCAAGGCATTACCGTATACGACCATGCCTCCACGGATGAATGCATCGTCTCTGTGAAGCCAACCTAATCTCGTCAGGGCCAAAGCCTTGAGGGATAACCGCAAGGCAAGTGGGGGATTCGGGAGGCATATAGATTGATGAAGCCAGGCGCATGGGGAGCCAGCCTGGGCGCTGCTCCTTGATGGGATGTAACGTTCCCAGAACGCAGAGATCAGTTGGGCTTCAGAGACGTTGGCGGTGCTGGGAGGTAGAGGCATGCTGTTCATGGTGACATTCTGTCTTCGGACAAGATCTCGCTGCAATACACTTTTCGATGGAGCCATTGCGACTATGGGTTCTGACGATCGTAGTGTGGGTTGGCAACGTGGCTCTTCTCCTTTTGTTCCATTTGCTTCTTCGGGTCCTTTTACTTCTTCAAGCCTACCTCGTTTCACGAGACCCTGTTTCGTCCGATTAAGAAATACCGGGTAGCGAGAATAGCCCTCACAAGTCTTCCCACTGTTGAGACATCTGTTGCACGCGGGTTCCTGGAGATCGCACTGCGTTTGATGTTGGTATAAGGTTTAGAGGCATGATGGATGTGTACTTATCCACCTTCTTTTTGCGCCTCCTGCAGGTGGTGCAGCCTTTGGACTTTCCCGGAACCTGCGGTGTTTCAAATCAGCATTTCCTCTCTGGGAGTGGAGATTGATTTGCTAGATAATTCTTTAGAAGCGAAATAGTGGGGAAAGCTCCGAGCGTTTGCATCCACAGATTTTGTCACGGTTGAAGTGCGGTCCTAGTTGGGAAAGAACAGGGACGCGAAGGCTACGTACTCCGACCATAGTATTGAACTTAGCTCTCTAGGTACTTCTCGATGAGTCAAAAGGAGGCATCCCTCAGTGATGACAATGGTCTGGTCGCGATTCTTGCAAGGGCTGGGAGTACAAAAACATTTCTTGCATGGCAATTCAATTTAGTGAACATGGCCCACCTTGGCCTTTAATATGCCCGCGCAAGATGAAAGCTGAGCATGGTAACATCAGACCAACGCCTCAGGCAAATACTCTACCTCTGGTGCCTGGTTGAAGAAATGCTCAATTATTCGGAATGAACGCGGGAGCGGTCAAGATCCATACACTAGACCTGATTGGGGGGCCAAGTTGCGCCAGCCTGAGGCAATTGCAAGCGAGCTGAAGTTATCCAAACTCAGGTGCAGCTGAAATGGAAAGATTAACACTGAATAAGATCCACTCCGTTAGATGTAGTGAGTTTGCTCGTATGACGGACTTAATTGGTTCCTGAATCTGGGATCGAAACGCCACGAGTGGTGAGACATCTTGTTCAACCAAAACCATGATACCTTTGATAGCACACTTCCGAGTAGCTCGTGGATGTAGTGTACGGAGAACTTGTCTCCTGTATTTATCATTACGGACTTCAATAGCCCCCCCATCTGCTTTCAACCATGTTCATCAGGTCGACAATCTTGCCGTATCCCATCCTCTGGCAGGGTTTGAAAATTCTGGGGATCCGACCGAACATCAAAAGGTCCCTTCTTTCAATCTATCGCAACTCGACAACGAGAACGTCCATAAGGAAGTATCTAGCTCTGAAATCCTTCTCCTAACGGACACAGATTTCGCAGCCGAAAGCTTCATTGCAAAGGCTGTCATTCCGAAGTTGTTCTGTTGCGAAAAGAGCCATGGTTGATGTGTGTTCTGCCAAGATACTTTGAGCCCTAGGCGTCCAGTAAGTCCCACCCGTCTCGACCATTATACATTCAAGCCCCCCAGTCGTAAAAGCAACATTCTCCAAAGCTACTGTCGTGGCATTGGCTAACAACGAGATCCACTTATACGTAATACCGGCTACGAACCCTCTGATAAAGATTTCTATATCTTCGGGAGTCTACTTTATATCTATTTAATAATTACTATATATTAATTAAATCTCAACTTATTAATTATAATAGATATAAATTTATAATCTAATATATTAGAGAAGCTAAGAGATTTTAAAAAAGTATATATTTATATATAAATATATAATCGAATTCTTTAATTATAATAATAATTAATTATATATAAATAAAAATTAAATAATAAAACGCGTTAGATTAAGAATTAACGCGTTTTTTTTTTAAGAATTTAATATTATTAATATAACGACGAGTTTTATCTTTTTTAATTAAATAATATCTCTCTTCTTCGCTAATTAATAATTTTTTTCTAAATATTATAAGTATTTAACTTCGACTATAAATGAGTTAATTTATTTATAAAAATTATATAAAGATTTTCTATAGAAAAGAGATTAGATAAGAGAGCTAAATCTAATATATTTAAAAAATACTCTTTTAATAGCGGAGTTAATAAGTAATAAGTAATAGTTATATATCTTTTAGCTAGCTATTAACGTATAAATAGATTTAATTAGATCTTATATCTTTATAAAAATTAAAAAAGAGTTTAATTCAAATATTCTTAGCTTCGATTTAATAAATATTACTATTCTCTCTCTTATATAATAATATATAATAAAGTATTAGATATTTAAGAATATATAGAATAAAGAAGCTAGAGCTCGGTCTAAAGAAATAAAAAAAAAGCTTTAGAGTATATTATAGAGTATAATAATATTTAGTTATAATAAAGATTTTAAAATTTTTAATATAATATATATAGCCATAATTCTATAAGATTACGATTATTTATTATATTTTAAATAAAATATAGATATTGGATATAGTTATAAGGCCGAGTGGGTAAAAACGGTTATACTCTAGGCTACGTCTTTTAATGGGAAGGGGTATGAACAGAGGCACGGCCCTCCGATGTAGGAACTACACACACACACACATACTGTCGTGGCATTCTGCGTCTTTGCAAGCGGGAGACTTCAGTCCCATTCTTCTACGACTTGAACCATGTCTCAATGTCAGGGAAGCCTACATTAAAATGAAATTTAATGGTCATTCATTCAAGATTCCAGTAATTAAGCGGCGTTAACTCAAACTTATAAAGGCTCTTCAAGTAGAGTACTATTCGGAGAATCAACGGAGTTCCTTGTACTGTATTCAAAGTCACCAGCGTCATAAGATTCATGGCCTACTTCGCTGAGCCTTATGACCTCGTCGATGCGGACTTGGACAATGAGAGGCTCGAACTCGAGGTGGAAGCTCCTGCGGAGTGCTCGTCCACCATCTGCAAATCTGAAAAGTTCCTGCAAAATTTGAAATTGCTGATCGCGCGTTGATCGCGGAAATTATAAAATCCGCCGGATTAATAAATCTAATTTAAATCCATCTAAATTCTATCTAATCAGTAACTATAGTCTACTTTTCACACGCTATCTATCGATTTAGTAATTACTATTTATTATTAAAATACTATCCGCCAATTTAGTAATTACTATATACTATTTAAATAATATTTATTAATTTAATAATTACTATATATTATTTAAATAATATTCGCTAGTTTAATAATTACTATATATTATTTAAATAATTTTTCTAGAAATAGTAATCGCCTTATATTAATATTTTATTATTTCTATAATTCGCGATATTAATTTAACTCTATAAGTCGAGTTTAATTTAACTTAGTTATATTATAAGCTTAATTTAATTTAACTTAATAATACTATTATTAGATATTAAGTTTATATATATAAATTTATATTACTATATTAAATAATCTATCTTCTCTATTAAAGATAAGAATATTATTATTTATAATATATCTTATAAGCGCTAATTATTTAAGAAGAAAAATTATCGCTAATATACTCTCTTATCGCTATAATCGTATTAAAATTAATATAATATATATAAAGGCTAATAATATATATTTATATTTCTATTATCTAACCTTAACTCTATTAACCTCTTCTCTTAATATCTAAATTCTTTTAAGATTTATATATATTAATACTCGTTAAAATATTAAATATCTTTTCTATAAAATCGAAATCGACTTTTTTAAATTAGAAGTTTTAATTTTTAGATAATTATATATATAAGGATATAGCGAGTAATAGTATATATAGATCTTTCTCTATAATATCTTATATTAAGACTTTCTTCTAATTTATTATATTTTTAAGATAATATATCTTAATTCTAGTATTATTATATAGACTATTAACGACTTAAGAAAACTTTAAATAATAACTCTTATTATAAATAATAATATTCTTTAAATTATAAGAAATCGCGAATTAATTTAATAGTAATCTTCGACGCTGAAATACTTAGTTAGATACTTTTTAAAGCGTATTAACGTCTTCTTAACTAGAGAAGAGCTTATTCTCTCTTCTCTTTCTAATTATAGTGTTTACGCATATATTCTATAATTATAAAACTTCTCTTCGCTCGACAAACTCTAAAGATAATTTGAAAGTTATTTAAATCGAGAAGGATATTCGAGTTAAGAAGGGTATTCGAGTTAAGAAAAATATTCGAATTAAAAAGAATATTCGAGTTGAGAAGAATATTCTAGTTAAGAAAAGTATTCGAGTCGAGAAGAATATTCGGATTAAGAAAGATATTCGAGTTGAGAAGAGTAACTAAGACTAATTTTACTTATTATATATTTAATCTTATTTCTAATATTCTAAAATCTAGATTCTTAATATTTTTATTATCTTATAGTATAACGTATATTAATCTCCTTTATTACTCTATAGCTTTTATTTAAAAAATTCGAATTATAGATATTATTATATTAATTAAAATCGATAAAATTATTAATATAATAAAATTTTTTATCTTTTATCGACATAAATATAATATATATACTTCTCTCGATATTTATAAGATTATAGAATCGTTATTTTTTAAGAATTCTTAGATTCCGCGCTATTAATAACTACGCCCTTTCTACTTTTACTATATTATAATATTTCTAAATTTATTCATTATATCGATACTTAAATATCTCTATAAAAATACTCTATAGATAAATCGATTTTTATCTAAAATCTCTATAAACTAGATTTATTACTTCTATTACGACTAATACTTTTCTTATTAATTTCCTTAAAAAAATCTTATTAATATCGAAGATCTATTAATTATATTTATAGATTTAAGCGTAATCCCTACGCTATCTTTTTTAAAAGGATTAATTAATAAATTTATAGATAATGATATCTTTGAATAAGCGAGCTATATTTAGAGAATTCTCTTTAAAAGTCTTTTAATATCGAATATTAAAATAAATATAAATCGAATATCGACGTATCTATTTATAATTTATCTTACGTATATTAATATTATTATCTCTCTTAAATAGATAATATTTTCTCGATTTCGTTTAATCTATTTAAATAAAGGCGA